CCTCCGCTCCCAGTGGGGGGGGCGTCGGGGAACATTGACAAAAACGGATGTGGAACGCGTACCCCCCCCACCCGAAATTTGGGTCGTCGGGTTGGGTTGGGGTGGTCCGGTGGGTGATCCGTGGCCCGACGCGTCTTGTGGGCACGTTCGTGTCGGCCGCCCTCCGCTCTCCTGCCCTGCGGGTTTCCCGAGTCCAGGGCCGTTGCACGGGCTTGCTTTCGCTGCCTTGCGGTCGGCCTCGCGCGCGCTGTCCCCGTGAGGGGCCACGCCGAGGCGTCGCCGCCATCCTCCCTCGCGCGCTCTCGGAGCTCCAGGGCCGCGAGCTCATCTCGGGCTCTTAGCTGCCCCGCCACGCCCGCTCTGAGGCGCAGCAGGTGCCGAATTCAGAGCGGCCCCGTGAAGGCGCTGCGTGCTGGCTCAACACGTTGGCCCGCGTCTCGGCGAAGGCATCGTGCCAGACCCGCGTCTCTGGTCTGCGTGTCGACCTCCGTCTCAGCACGCGCTACGTGCTGCGTGCTGCGCATCGGGGCGGCCGAGCCCGGGCTGCGTGCCAGGAGGTGGGCCCGTGATCACTCTTGGGCAGGCGATCTGAACTTCCACTGGGCTTGCGGCGGCGAGCGAGGGGGGAGGGACAGTAGACGGACAATCGATTCGAGCCTTTACACATTCGAGGGAGATTCTAAATCACCCCCGCGCCCCCGACATCAATGTTGATTTCAGTAAAGGCGGTGCTTTGGGGTTCGAATATTTCTGTCCACTCACGCCCCCCCCCCGTCGCCACGCCATCAACATTAATTTCGGGGGTCTGGGGGGCATCTTGGGCCACAGGGTTAGAATATAATGTCCATGCACGGGAGTGAGAAGGGGCGGGCCTTCCTGGAAGGCTCGGAAGTCCCCCCGGCCTTCTGAGAAGTTTTCTTGAGCCTTCCGCGGGGGCGCGCCGAAAGCTTCCCAGGAGGGCCAGAGGGCTGCTGAGAAGTCCCGCCGCCCTCTGAGAAGGCCTTCTCCTCCTCACTTCCCCCTCGCTCGCTCGCCGCCGACTCCTTGCCCCCATCTCACCCCCTTCCTGGCCCGACCTTGGACGACGAGATCGACCCCCTCGACCAGCTCGACGACGAGGGTCAGGGAAGCTGATTCACGACTCCGTGGAGTGGCAGGACAGCTTCGCCTTCGCCCCCCGCTGGGGAGTGCCGCCGCGGCGGCGCATGACAGGCGCGGGCGGGGCCGCGCCGAGGCCCGAGGCAGCGCTGCGCGCGCGCGGAGAGTCCAACCGAATCGGGGCCCCGCGATCGGACGGCGCGGAACCAGTGGCAACATCCTGACAAGACCGCGACCAGGAGAGCTCCGGACCCAATCTTCCTGTGCCAGTTTTCGGGCCGCACGGGCCAGAGACCAGGCGAAAACGCCCTGCTCGAAACGCGACTACACGTAAGAGTGACCTTTCGCCGGAGCGACCTCTTGGTGCGGGCCCAACGGGGTCCCCCGATCGCTGAACGCGATGCGGTAGCAGCGTCTTGCGCGCTGGTGGCTGGCCCCCGAAGGTCACTCTTGCGTGCAGTGGAGAAAACAGCTCGGGCAACGGGCTCTCGGGCCCCCCGCGCCCGGGCAAGCCCGGGAGCGGACCGCCCGGGCGCCCGGCGCCGCCCCCCCGCAGCCCGCCGCGGCCCGCCTCTGCGCGCCCTCCCGGCGCGCAGCCGCGCCGACGGGGGAGGCGCGAGGGGGGCTCGCCCACCGCCGCGCGGAGGGGGGGGGGGCAGGGCTCGCAGAAGACAAGACACCATGGGCATAAACCTCTGGCGCTCCGCGCGGATCTCTTGGTTCCGCGCTGGACCCCCCCTGGCGGCGCCTCTGGCGCCGCGCCTGGCGCGCGGAGCGCGCCAGGGAGGGGGGGGCCAGGCGCAGATCCAAGAAATCCGCGCGGAGCGCCAAAGTAAGTTTATGTTTATGCCGTGTTTCTTCTATTGAAGGTGAAGCTGAGCCGGCTGCCGCGTGGCTCGACATCCTCCGCCGATGGCGCACTGCTCCCTCCGCGAGCTGCGGCCCCACGGGGGCGTCTGGCGCCAGGGAGTCCGCCCAGAGCGGCACTCTTCGCCAGCGCGGGAGTGGACCCGGGGAGGGCTTCGTGATCTGCATGGCGCGGCCACCCGGGCTTTCCGACCACGCGGTTCTCTTCGCCACTTTGCGTACAGTCGGACCGAGGTATAAGATCGAGGTCGGCTCGGGGAGGGTACCCTCATGTTCTTGGTGCTCGTTGGATGTTCTTGCGCAGCCCGGGGAGGGTACCCTTGGAAGTTCTGTTTGTTTTGGCCGATGAGGGCCTCATGTTCTTGTAGGACGTTCTTCTGGCCTAATTAGGTCCGACTGTAAACCGGCCGTCGTCATCAAGCACCTGCCCACGACCGCTCGCGGCATCAGTGCCTTCCCGCAGGCCGCCACCGCGGACCTCTGGTGGCGCTATCGACTGCTCGAGACCATGGTCTCTATCCCCGCCGTGGATCTCACCACCCTACCACCGCCGCCACACTGGACTCCCCAGCGCCGCGTGGCGAGCTACCCTCCGCATCCCTCGCCGACCTCATGGCCGGTCTCGGCGTCCGGGATCTCGGCGCAGCCCACCCCACCCCACCCATGTTGACGAGCCCGACCCCGCCCTTCCTCCGCACCCCGCTGCGCTCATGCGGCGGGGTCGTTTTGTCTTGTCGGCCATGCCTCCATGCTTCGGAACTGGTCGCGTTTCTGGGCCGCGCGCTCCACGCGGCCATGCCTCGCAAGCGCGCTCCTGGAACGCCACGGCACCGGCCTCACCCATTCCGCCCACGGGTCAGCTGACCAGCCGGCTCGCCTCCCGCAGGTGGTCCGGCGCTGCGCTCACCGTGGACGGCGCTCGGAGCTGGCTCGCGCGGTGGCACGCCGACCGCGCCCTGCCGGCATCCGCTGCTCTCGCCCCCTGGCGCAGCGGCGCCGGCACCTCCCGGCCAGCCCTCTCGGAGGCCCACCGCCTCGGTCGCGAAGTCTTCCGCGCCCGCGCCTCCCAGGCTTGCGCGGGCGTCCGCGTCCCCGGCGGCGAGTGGTGCGAGAACCCCACTGCAGTGTGGAAGGCACTCTGGGACAGCCGGGCGGCCAGCTGGAGATCAGTGCTGGCTTTGCCCAGCACGGAGCAGCGTCCAGCGGATCGCTACCTGGCCACTCGTCCCCCGCCCGCGCGGTCGGCAGCGCCCGCTCCGAGCTGGACCCGACTCTCTGCGCTCATCCTCGGCTCCTGCCTGGAGCGCCCCCGGGATGGACGGTGACATGTATGAGGCCTACCATGCGGAGTATCTGTTGGTCGCTTGCCTGCTCATCCACGCCATCTCTGCAGAGCCTGGAGCCCCAGGCCACCTGGATGGCGTCCTCGGTCATGCAATGGGCGCTCTTGTCTGCCTCCAGGGCGCGGAGCGGGCCGGCGATCTCTGGCCTCTCCCCTCCGGCCCCCCGCGTGCTCTCGGCGGCTCCCCGACCGCAGGCAGGATGAGGGGGAGGGGGGAGGCGGAAGGGGTGAAGTGGGCGGGGGGGAGGGAGCGAAGGGGTAATGATGGGCTTGTTTTCCACCATCACCAAAAGTTGGAGGGGGGAAGGAGGAGGAGGAGGGCGAGGAGGAGTAGGACGAAGAGGAGGAGGAGGAGGAGGAGGAGGAGGAGGAGGAGGAGGAGGAGGAGGAGGAGGAGGACCCCCTTCCAACTTATGGTGGTGGTGGTGGTGGAAAACACGCCCATCAGGTGAGGGGGAGGGGGGGTGATCGGGGGGTGAAGGAAGGGGTGGGTGGGGGGGCCCTGGGGTTGGAGGGGTGGGGTGTGGGGGCGAGGGGGTCTTGGGCCCCTCTTGGGGACATTGGGGCCGCTTTTGGGGCCATCTTGAAGGCCATCGAGCAAAAAAGCAGGGGGCGTAAATCCCCCCCCCCTGTCTGAGCACGAAACTTGACCTCTTGGGGCCGTCTTGGGGCGCTTGTGGGGCGCTCTTGGGGCCATCTTGGGCCCCTTGTCACCCCGTGTTGGGCCATCTTGGAGCCACCTTGAGGCCTCATCCTTCGCATCAAGCGCGAAAAGGCGAAGCGGCAAACATCCTTGATTTCCCGTTGGTGTTTGAAGGATTTTGTCCTTGGGAGGCTCGGAGGGCCCTTGAAGCCGTCCCAGCACGGTCTTGAGGGCTTTGGGAGGCATGTTCTTGAACCATCTTGGGCTATCCTGAGCGATCTTGGAGGCCATCTTGGGCTCTCTGATGCCCTCTTGGAGCCACCTGGCCCCTCTTGGACTCGGCAACGACCCGCGGAACGCCCCGTGCAGACCCAGGGGGAGGGGGCAGGAGCGAGGGGGAATCCCCTCCTCCGAAGGGTAAGAAGTGGGGGGGAGTCACACAAAGAGCTCCGTCGACCGCTCACGCGTGGAAGGCTGGTGGGGAGGGAGGAGGAGGAGGAGGAGGAGGAGGAGGGAGGAGGGAGAAGGGAGGAGGGAGGGAGGGGGGAGGAGGCAGAGGAGGGAGGAGGAGGAGGAGGAGGAGGAGGAGGAGGAGGAGGAGGAGGAGGAGGACAAGGAGGCCCCCTAAATGGGGCGAGCCCCTACACGGGGCGAGCAATCTGCCCTCGGGCAAACCCCTCACTCCCACCTGGAGCGCGAACACGTGAGATCAGCAGTTCTACAGGCGTTGTCTGGTTGTCACGATCTGCTGGACACCTGAGTGGCACTTCCGATTCGGGTGTTGTAGCTAGTTGCGATGGGTTGAGCGAGTGAGCTTCTGAACACCGCCAAGGGTGTGGCCAGGTGAGGGTAGGGATATCTGAGAAGCGGCAGGTCCACAGTGTGGCTTCTACTTTGTAGAAGGGGTTTGATCTTGCGGTTCACCTTGCGAAGAATGTGAGAGTGTGTATGGTTGCATCGTCGACCTCGACACGCATCCTCAGACCAGAGTGGTTGCCTGTTTGGTCGTCTGGCGCAGTTGCATGACCAGAATCATTATCGGGAGTGGAGGATAGCTCTTCGGAGTCTTCCTGAAGTGCGCCGGCAACCGCGCTTTGTATCAGTGATCGGGGGGCGCTGGCAGGATAGGAAGGCCTTTGCGCCAATGCTGTGCCCAGTTTGGGCCTGGCCAGGCGAGGTGCCGATTTTAAGTTCACCAAGTGCAGCTTGCTTGGAGAGGCATGAACCGAATGGTGTTTTGTCTGCCTCTAGTCTGTTTTTTTTCGCAAGGAGGAACAACTGACTGACTGACTGACTGACTGACTGACTGACTGAAGCCTCCAGGGCCTTTACATGACCTTGTCAGACACCGCAAGCTGCTTCTGTTTCTGCCCCAGCGTTCCTTTTCCACGTGACAACACACCATGCCAGTCCAACTTGTCTCGACACCGTCCTCATCCCTGTGAAGTAATACAGTGCGCGTGCACTCGCTTATACCAAACAGTTTTGCTGTCAGGAATCCCATGCATCAGGTTTCAGAAGGCCGGAGTCGCGCGCTCAGGTCGAAATCACACCAAACATAGTCGTTCTGCACGCGTTTCAACTTCAAAACATCACAAATCCTTAGGCGCATAATCATCACACATCTTACAGATGTTCTGCCCGCGCCGCGCGCATGTGCAATAACCAAACGACATTATTGTAACTGAGCAACTCGTCCAGAACCCGCGTTCTCACTCCACCACGCGGTGCATCCGCGTTGATCCAGCGTGCGCCCAGCACACGAATCCGTAGCAACATACTACCAGGCGGGCCACGCGCGCGGCGCCACGCGCGCGCCTCGACATCCTTCTCAAACCATTGGTTGTTCGAAGCGTCGTAGGATAGAGCTGCTCAAAAGAATGCGAACAGACCTACGGCAGGTTCGCGTCGTGTCGACCGGCGGCGACCCCAGCGCGGGCGTTTAAGACTGAACGCCGCCAGTGGCCCAGAATCGGCCCATGCTTGAACGATCCTGCCTTTTTGAAAGGGCCGATCGTTCAAGTTTGAACAATCCCCGCGATGTCAGGATCCAACGCCGGGGTCGACACGACGCGAACCTGCCGTGAGCGTTGCTTCAACAGTCTGCCATGTTGCTGGCATTTCCGCGCGAGCGTACTTCCTCACCAGCACCCTCCTCGGTGCCGCGGCCATTGCCGCCGAAATCGTCATCGCCAATCGCCGCCATTGCCCCCAACATCAGCCAACCACCTCCATCACCGACGCGTGGACATCCCCATCATCATCGTCGTCACCAGCATCGGCGCCGCCATTGGCCTGGCCATCGTCATCGTCATCATTGCCATCACCAGCACTACCATCATCATCATTACCGCCTTTCCTAACGTCATCGTGATCCCGCACCCGCCCGAGTCACCGACCCGCACTGAAGCGCCCACGCGCCAGCGCGATTACAAATGAGAGGGTAAAATAATTGCGCGAGCAGTAAAATTAACGACTTCAGGTTCTGCAGTGCAGATTCCCATACATTGCACAGAGTCACTGTTGGGGGTCTAGGCGCGAGGGTCGTATGTTTGTCGCCTCCGTTTCGTTCTCTGCTGTGCTACATGTGTTTCTCGTTCTGCCCACCCCTTAAATTGATTAATCGCCAGGCACGCATGTTAACAATGCAGTGCCCCGAATTGGTTTATCGCCAGGCCCGACATCATGTCGTGCTGATTTTGAAATGTTGGCCATGGGGGCCGTGTGGGATATAACCCATGGGCGTTTCATGCTCCTGGCAGAGTTGCTTTTGGAGCCACGCTGCGCGGCTACAACTTCCATCGATTGCGGCTTGATTGGGTTGAAAAGAAGTGCAGTGTCCTGTGCGCACGGAGTGATTCAGGGGCCCGAGTTGTGCGGACGGCGTGGCCCGTCTAGCGCCTCCTCTGCAATCCGAGACTTCTGGCTAGAGCTCGATAGCCTTGTGGGCGAGATCGCTGTTCGGTCCGAGGATGTTCCAGCATGACGTGGGCTATTGCGGAGCGAACCTTTGGCGAACACCATGCCTTGTGTGATTTCCTTGGTTGACGCATATCAGAGCATGGCGCCCAGCATTGCCACCTCGAGTTGCACAGACGCCTAGCTGGGTTCATCATGACGCACATCCACAGGGACGTTTGAAGTCCCGTTCGCCTTCAAACTTTTCAGATCCTCCGCCTCCCCTGGGTGCTCCCAGATTCCGGAGATTCCCGGATCCAGATTCCAGGTTCCAGATACCCACCCTCCTCTCCACAGGGTCCTTGGGGTTGCTCCCCAGGGCGCTGGGTCTCCATCGAGATTCACTTATGCCGGCGCTTTCGAAGAGGCGCAAGGCGTTCGCCATTCTCCCGAAGTGGCATGTTTGGAAACGCGTGCTGGTGGTCTTAACCAGGGCCATCTTGAGAAAACGGTGCAAGCCCGTGGCCTCCGCCCAAAACAACGGCTGCATCGAACGCGTTGAGTCTGGTTTAGAGTGAGCGCTGGTAGCTGTTCAGGTCGGGCGTCGTGTGTGCGTTTCTGCACGGTCGTGGCTTTTGGGCAATGCCAGCCAACATGCGAGTGCGTCCACACACACACACACACACACTCACGCGCGAGAACGACTTGGGTCCAGGCCTTCTTTGTATTGTTGCGCAGCTGATGTGGGCGTACAGATTCGGAAGTGTCTGTATGGTCGCTGGTGCCCCCAGGGCAAGTGCACTTGTTGGTAAAATGGTGCGGAATGTGCGTGGCACGAGCAAGCGAAGTCTGCCAACCCATGAGAGATAAAGAGAGAGGGAGAGGGAGACGGAGACACAGAGAACGGGAGGGAGAGAGAGAAGAGTGAGAGAGAGAGAGAGAACAGAGAGGTGTGCTCTACTTCTGCCTGCGAGGGTTTGCCCCCTTATCTGGCACGTTCGATGGTTCATTCTGCCATACTCTATTCTAGACGCTTCGCGTAACCCCATCAGCCGCCTTCCGCTCCCTGACCGCAGCCTCGGAGCCGCCGACCAAAAAAGTAACCCCATCAGCCCATCCAGAAACGATGCCCAGGCGAGTTGCCCTGACCATGGATGTGGAGGAGCATGCAGTGGAATAAAAGGCTGGGGAAGCCGCCGTAGCCCAAGAGGAGAAGTATGGAGGAGGAGTAGGAGGAGGAGGAGGAGGAGGAAGAGGAGGAAGAGGAGGAGGCGAGGGTGGGGGAGGATGAGCGGGAGAGGCAGGGGGAGGAGGCAGGAGGGAGGAGGAGGAGCAGGCGGATGACGAAGAGGAGGAGGAGGATGAGGAGGAGGAGGAGGAGGGCGAGTAGAAAGGTCAGGGTCCCCTTAGATGTATTTCGGAGTATCTTTGGATGTCTCTTGAGAGTTTCTTGGGGTCCGATCGGGGCGTCTTGGGGGCCTCTTGGCGGTCCCAGGGGCCTCGTGGTGGTGCCTCGGGAGAGACTCTTGTAGCCTCTTGGGAGCATCTTGGGGACCTCTCTTGGGGCCTCCTGGGCGCCTCTTGAGGGCCCTCTTGGGGCCGTCATCGGGCACCATTGGGAGCCCTGGGAGCCATCTTGGGGCCATCTTGGAGGAGATCAATCAAAGAAGGAGGGGTACGGGGGTACTAAATTAGCGTCGCCCCCCCCCCCCCTCCCCCCATGAGGTCAGACTGGGCCCGACACCTAAGTAAAATCCATGATGTGTGCACATTCGCCGCGGCCACTTTGGACACTCTAATGGGTCGCGACCCCCCCTCGTCCAGGTTCGGGGGGAGGGGGGGGGAGGGAAGGGGAAGAATGGGGGTTGGAAGAGGAAGCGCTTGAAACCACTCACGCCCACGGGGCTAGTAGGATGCCTCCACCACCTCAGCTTTCACCTCATCTCCGTTCTTCTACTCATCATCCTTCTCCTCCTCTTCCCTCCTCCTCCTCCTCATCCTCCCCCACCTCGTCCTCCCTCCTACTCCCTCCTTTCCTCGCCCTCTCCCTCCTGTTCCTCGTCGTCCGCTTTCTCCTCCTGGTTGTCCATCTTGTCCCCGTGCCCAGCATCTTCCGCATCATTCTCTTCCTCTTTCTCATCGTCATCGTCCTCCTTGTCGTCGTCATCCTCCGCTTCATTCTCCTCCTCGTCCTTGTTCTTTACTTCATTGTCGCTCTCCTCCTACTCCTCGTCCTACTCCTACTCCTCGCCTTTTTCCTCCTCCTCCTCCTCCTCCTCCTCCTCCTCCTCCTCCTCCTCCTCCTCCTCCTTCCTTCCCTCCTCCATTTCTTCATGTCACGCTTGCTACTCCTCACCTTCATCATCCTCCACCAACTCTTCTTCCGCATCCTCGTCTTTTCCTTGAGTGTGCTGTGCAGCTTCTTGCCTGTGTCTATAATGCAGGTGTTCTCTGCGTACTCTTTGATAGTGCAGCAAAGGATGTTGAGTAAGATTGTCGCACATGTCATTTCGATACTCCAAGACTGGCCGAGGAAGATGGCTCGGGACAGTTCGAGCGCGCTTCGGACTCAAGTGGGGATGGCTACATGTCTGTCTGATCAGCAGGTTGGCGCGGACTGGCAGGTGGCGTCTTAACTAGCTGCCGGCACATGCCGGCACCGCTGAGCTGTAGATGTGGCTGGCGGATCTGAGGTTAAGGGGTGAGGGTGAATCGATGATTAACCGTTGGTCTTTTCTCAGCAACCCCCGTAATTGGAAGTGGCAACCCGAGCAATCGAAAGGATTAGGGGTTAGGGGCCCAGAAGACCCACAGCCTCTCACAATCTCGAAGATTGAGGAACGATCTAGAACATTGGAGAAAGCTTCTAGCCTGGGGACCAAACCTCTAATTTGAGTTTTTGTGAGCTTCCAGGATGATTCTGCACTAAGTGCACCAGGTAAGAAACTGGTATGCCAGCCGGTGCCCGCTGTAGTGTGTTGTTATTCCCTGACGGCCCCATGCACCCGTTGGAGTTTTGGGGCATCCCGCAAAGTCCAAGACCGACCGAACAGCGTGCCCTTACATACACAGCAGCGCAGTTTTTCCTGTACACAGCGAGAGCTGTAAGGTTTTCTTTTCCTGTAAAGCGCACACGCAGTGAGGCAACGGCCGATTTGGTAACCCGTGGGGTGTCTGGCGCAACCTACAGCGCGCAGATTCTGCAATGCAGACAGACCAGGAAAGTTGCGGTTTGGTGACCCGCGGGGGGGTCTGGCGCAACCTACAGCGCGCAGCTTCTGGAATGCAGACATGCCAGGAGAGTTGCGGTTTGGTGACCCGCGGGGGGGTCTGGCACAACCTGCAGCGCGCAGCTTCTGGAATGCAGACATGCCAGGCAAGCTGCGGTTTGGTGACCCAGCGGGGGGTCTGGCGCAACTTGCGGCGCGCAACCCATGGCGCATGGCATGGAATGTTGACAGCCAGGGGAAGTCGCGTTTTGATGGCCCGCGGCCCGCGGGGGTCCTGGCGAAGTTCATGGCAAAACATGCGGCGCGACCTGTGGATTCTGGGCAGACTTGCGGACGTCGTGATGTGGCAGCCAGCCGGGGGAGGGTTGGCGCAACCTGTTGCACAGCCTACACCCCTCCGCGAGATCCCAAGCAGCTCGTCCTGCAGCGCGCCGCCGCCCCACCCAGGCCCGAGAGCCGACGACCCACTTTCTCGTCGGAGCCCGCGGGCTGTGCCGCGCGCGCCACTGAGCCTTGAACTTTTTTTTGGGGGGGGCCAGCCTCCTCCTCCTCCTCCTCCTCTTCCTCCTCCTCCTCCTCCTCCTCCTCCTCCTCCTCCTCCTCCTCCTCCTCCAGGGGGGTCCAGCACATTTGAGCAGATCCCGCGGAAGGCTGCAACATGAAGCCGCGCAGCTGTCAGCGCGAGCGCCGCGCCATGATGAGCTGGGCAGGCTGCCGACCGCAAGGGGCGGAGATCTGGCCTGCGCTCCTGGGTCGCCCCGCGGCCCGGCCCGACCCGCGACCTGCCCGCGCGACGCGCCCGCGACCCGCTTGCCGCGTCTCGGTCGCGCCCTGGCCGCGGCCTGGCTGATGGGCCTACTTTCCACCACCACTACCATAGGCAGGAGAGGGAGGAGGAGGAGGAGGAGGAGGAGGAGGAGGAGGAGGAGGAGGAGGAGGAGGAGGAGGAGGACCTCCTCATCCTCCCTTCTCCCCCGTCCTACACACGGTAGTGGTGGTGGTGGAAACTTTGTCCATCACCGACCAGGCTGGGCGGCCCGGCGAGGCAGAGGGCTCCCGACGCGACGCCTGCGGGGAGAGAGTGGCCTGCGACGGCAGTGCCTGGCCAGGGCCCGCGCGCTGGCCCCGTGTTTTTACAGTGCAGCACAGCTGCAAGTTCGTCGGATATTGCCTCTGGTTGCCACGGGGTTCCCGGTCAAGAGCAGCTGAGGAGATCAAACTTCGAAGCAGAAGAGATGCGCAACCAGAGAAAGCGCAGCAGGCAACGGGTGTCGACCAGACGCAAGAAGTGGCCATTCGCCCAGGTTTGGCCACCCCGCGTCCCCCGTCAAGCCGCGCGCCAGAGGTCACGCTGGCCCAGGGTCGCTCTTGCGTGTAGCCGACGGTGGGGCAACCAGGGGAGCCACACTTTTTCTTCCGCCGCCGCGCGGCAGAGGCAGCCCACACGCCCGCTCAGCAAGCCGGGAGACGGCATTGCGAATGGCCCGGACGCTAGAGGAAAAGGAGGGGGAAGAGGGGCGGCCGCGGGAGGAAGGGAGGGGACTAGCGTTAAGTCGGGAATGTCCCTCTACAGGAGGAATGTTCCGAAACAGTTTTAAAGATAATATGGGGACGATGTTTTGACCATTCTTCATTTTTCCTCCGAGATCCGCCTGTAGGGGGACGCGCCCGACCTAAGACTAGCGCGCATCTGCGGAAACACACGGCCCGCACACCACCAGAGCGGCCGCGGCGGCGCCGCTCGGTGAGGAGGGCCCGCGCCTGGGAAGGGCCAT